GAGAGAGCGAGAGAGCGAGAGAGCGAGAGAGCGACAGAGCGAGAGAGCGACAGAGCGAGAGAGCGAGAGATAGAGCGTGAGAGCGAGAGAGAGACAGCGAGAGAGCGAGAGAGCGAGCGAGAGAGAGAGAGAGAGAGAGAGAGAGAGAGCGAGAGAGCGAGAGAGCGAGAGAGCGAGAGAGCGAGAGAGCGAGAGAGCGAGAGAGCGAGAGAGCGAGAGAGCGAGAGAGCGAGAGAGCGAGAGAGCGAGAGAGCGAGAGAGCGAGAGAGCGAGAGAGCGAGAGAGCGAGAGAGCGAGAGAGCGAGAGAGCGAGAGAGCGAGAGAGCGAGAGAGCGAGAGAGCGAGAGAGCGAGAGAGCGAGAGAGCGAGAGAGCGAGAGAGCGAGAGAGCGAGAGAGCGAGAGAGCGACAGAGCGAGAGAGCGAGAGATAGAGCGTGAGAGCGAGAGAGAGACAGAGAGAGAGAGAGAGAGAGAGAGAGAGAGAGAGAGAGAGAGAAATTAAGCAATGAAACCGCTGTCATTTACTTAGAACATAATTCTGCACCGATCGATATTGCTTTCATTCTTTCATCGTAATTAGGGGGGGAGAAATGACTTTTCCAATCGGGGGAGGCCCTCCGGAGAGCCGTTCGGGGTTACTCTGCGCTTTTGAAAATTCATTCCTCCGCTCCTACGTGAGATTAAGGAATGAAACCGCTGTCATTCATTGAGAATTTAATTCTCGATCGATCGGCGTCGGTTTCATTCCTTTCTCTCAATTAGGGGGGGGGGAGAAATGAATTTTCCAATCGGGGGAGCCCCTCCGGGCTCACTCGACGTCGGAAAGCCGTTCGGGGTTTCTCCGCGCTTTTCAAAATTCATTCCTCCGTTCCTATCTGAGATTAAGAAATGAGACCGATGTCATTCATTAAAAATATAATTCTCAATCGGTAAGTTTTGGTTTCATTCCTTCATCTCAATTAGGGAGGCGAGCAATTGATTTTTGAATGAGAAGAACTTGTCCGCAGTTACTGCACGCTTTGAAATTTCATTCCTCCTCTCCTAACAGAGATTAAGTAATGAAACCGCTGTAATTTATTGAGAATATAATTCTCCATCGATAGATATTGCTTTCATTCTTTCATCGTAATTAGGGGGGGGGGGAGAAATGAATTTCCCTATCGGAGGAGCCCCTCCGGTTAGTCCGCACTTTTGAAAATTCATTCCTCCGCTCCTACTTGAGTAGGATACAATAGAATTTCCCGCAGATTCCAAAAAGCTTCATTATTATTCGTGCATGAAAAATGGGGATCTTCGGGAAACTCCTTGCGATCGCAAGACTTTTACCGATTTATTTTTCTCCGTGTGACGTCCGTATAGAAGATCAAAAAATCAATTTAACTTTGGGATAAATGGAGAGGAGAGAAAAACGTGAATATCTCGGAAATTAGATGCGACAAAGTGGGCCCTTTTCACGTGGACGTACGCATATAATTGGACTGAAATTTATAGAAATTGTTAATTTGCAATGTCGAAATTCCTTGAAATTTCCGTATTACGGCAACGCTATAAAAATTCCCAATAAGTGTTTCCGGAATTTCCGCGAAAATATTACTGAAACCTACAGACATCATTCCTGATTTCAAGACATTCCTTTGATTTTCAGGATCATGTCGCTAGAAATTTTTTACAAAATGACTTAATTTTAACATTGCTTGCTCATTGCATTTCAGAAATGCAGCTGCCTAAAAAAGACACATGGATTCCTAGGAACGTTTTTTTTTCTCGGTAAATACAGACAATAGAGAAATGTCAGAGTACAGTGAATAAACTTTACTCGTCAATAACTCCATAATGGCAGAGTGAAATTCCCTGATTTTTTTTCACTCTCGATTAATTTTTTAAACATTCAAATTGATACTTGAGTATCAATTGATTCATTCTCATAGTTCCATTCCATCGGGAGATATTGTCGATTGGAGACAATGTTTTTATGGTCACTGAAGAAGGCAAACCATTCATTTATATCTCGCAATAATCTGCGAAAAATCTCATTCGTTAATCTATTATTATTGATTTAATCCCATTATGTGTAGATCGCTGGAGAACAACGAAAACGTTCGAACCGTTCAAACGAGTTGTAATGTTTTCTCTCTCCTTCTTCTCCATTTTCTTTCTCACTCGCACTCGTTAAGTTTTGCGGAGGACGAGCACGTGCCAACGCGACGGAGACGACAATGAGTGGGAGCAAGCGCGATACATATTCTTTTCTCACTCAGGTGGGGAATACCGATACTAGTATACCTGCCTGTTTTACCAACGAAAGTATACTCGCATTTAGTTCATGCGCCACCACTACGTAAAAATCTATTTGAAACGTTTACATTGCCGTGAGAGATCTCCCTTATAATCTCTGCTGTATACAGTGAGTGCCATAACAATTGAAGAAGAGGAAGGACATAAAACGAGCGAAATTTCTTCTCTGGTGAAACTTTTGGACAAACTCATGGACATTACCTAATAGTAATCATTTCTATTTCCTTTTAACCATTTCCTAATAGTAATGGAAATTGAAACGAAAATAGCAATTCAATAATTGAGCAGGTGAATTAGCAATGCAAGATATTTGTTCGGATATACGAGCGGCGATTGATCACGGACGCACCGATATCATTCGATCATTAATTGGTGCATGTACGTACCCAGATTCGCGTAACCTTCCCATCCTTATTGAATGCAAAGCTAACAGACGATTAAATAAAAAATCACTGCACACACACGCATTGGCTTTTTGAATGTTTAATAATCTAGAATTTTTCCAATAATAACAGGTGACAATGAGAATCTTAGAGAGCGCATCACAAGAGAAGAAATTCTTAATCAACCATTTCTTGAAGAGGGAACATTCCTTTCATATGCTTCCAAGGTAAAATTTACCTTTTTTGTCGGCATAAAACATGACTAATAATGTTGCAATGAATGGAAGAATAGTTTCGTTATGAGATTCATTTAAACGATCATTTTTCCAATTAGAAGAAAAAAATTGTGACTTTTTGAACTCTAGACAAATCAAGTAGACGTTGTTCGAACACTACTGAATTGTGGAGCTAACCCAGCTATTAAAAATGCACATGGACATAACGCTGTTGATGTAGCAGCTAGTGAAGTAATTCGCATGATTTATGTTGAGGAATTGTTGAGAGCAACTGCTGCCTCCGAGTAAGTTGTTCATCCAAAAAATTACTTTAGATTACTTCGAACCGTGGAAAACACCATTACACATTATCTATTTGTACTTGTTTTCTCTTGTCAGAATAGACAGAGTTTTACAACTCTTGGCTGCTGGAATTGCCGTCAATTCTTGGGACTCTGAGGGAAGTAAAAATACACCACTGCACTGGGCAGCATGTTACGGCAATAAAGAAGTAATCGCTTGTCTTATAGGTGAGTTTTTACATTTCGTTTCATCATCCAATTTTTCAGTTTCAAACTGGGCAAGACAGAGAGAAAGTATGGTATTGTCATTTTCATAATTCAGATCGTGGAGCGAATATTGATGCACAAAACGGCTGTGGTGCAACACCATTGCATGAAGCAGTGAATCGCGGAGATATGGAAATATGTCAAGAACTCTTGCAGGCAGGTGCCAGTCCTCATATTCGTGCAATACAAGGGTTTGTATAATTTTCGTTTTATATGCACGGAGATCATTTTTTATAAACAAAAAATTGATATTGGGTGCATTGCAACATAACAAACTCATTTGATATTAGATTTATGAAATAAAAAATTCCGACATCAACATCTCTGGGCTTCTGATTTGGCGTGGACCTGTTCAGATCCAGTGAATAAAACTTCAAAGTAATAAAAACATGTTTCGCGTAGAACTTACGACCTCTTGATTGCAAGTGCACGATGGAGGAAGTTAAGTTGTGAATAGGAGTAAAAATACTGATCAAAATATTTTTCGTCATTCAAAATATTCTTTTATTCTGGAAGGAAATTCAGCAACAACAATTTTTACATTCTTAGACGTCTTCAATTTATGAAAGACTAGAACAGGGCGCGCGCTTCGTGCGCGTATTGTTTTCCATGGTGCCAGGATAGTTAAACCTTACCGTTTGTCACTTTCATTCATTTTTATCTCAATAATAATGCGGGAAAAATGAATGGTTTTATAAAGTTTTTCACAATTAGAATTTAATTGTTGAATCATTTATTCGTCATAATCCTCTTCATCTTCTTCTTCGTTTCTTTTTTACTTTTTGCGTTCTTTTCTATTTTTAATGATGTATTATCTACTATATACTATCCCATATATGTATATATATATTTTCGTCAGACACATTTTTTTTCGGCCTAATGACGAAACATACTACTTTTTTATAGGACTATATAATTTTTTTTACAGTTAAAAAAATTAAAGTAAAAAAATAGATATGAATATAGTATATATTATATAATATATACATATATACCATCTCATAGATGTATTTTTTTATTACAGTAAGAAATGAAATTTTCTTTTCTTACAATTACTGTAAACAAAAGATTATAGTACATGAAAAAATATCAATTGACATCATATTGCATTACTTGATAAGCGGAATAGAGGCTTCAAAAATCGTTACACTAGATTTTTTTAAAGTGGATCATCGCTTTTCATGTCAAGCAATGGAAATGGCTGCGGCGTGGTAAATTCCGATTTTCATTTTGTTTTCGGCCTTGAAACGTTCATTGGAACGGAAACATAAAAATTAGAATTTTCATTTTTTCTTAATTAGCTTCATTTAAGTCCAATTGTGGTAGCCACTCATGAGACCCATACCGCATACAGTTAAGGTAGCTCACGACATTTAGATAATGATTAATCATAGAAACTCTTGGGGCTGATGGTGATAGGTACACTGAGAGAAAAAATTATTCCTGCCAAGGATTGATATTCTCGTCAGAAGATAATAGTTTTTCAGAACGAATTTTTCTAGGACAGTCCTCAAAAATTACAGTGATATTGAACAATCTGATTATTATGCTACATATGACCTTGACAAAATGTTCTCCGATATCTTCCGGATTTTACAAATTGGCGATTTTCTCAGGTAAAGAAAATTGGAATAATTCCAAATGTTAATAATTATTATTGGAGTTTCTTCGAGGTCATATGCAGAAGAATATTCTTATAGATCACCAAAATTCTTACGCTTGGAACTGATTTCGGAGCACCTAGAAATGACTGGCCTGAAGAAATACGTTCCAAAAGAGATATTTTCTTCTACTAAGAGTATGAAAAAGATATCACCAATAACATTTTCTTGGAAGGAATAAATTTTTTTCTCAGTGTAGTTGCAATAAGCAAGTTTTGAGAGTGTAGATATTGCATTGATGTTGATGTTATTTATGTTACTAAAATTACAAATGAATTTCTGTCTTATGGCAATTTTTCCTGTAACCTTGAGACTATATTCGTAGTCTAGATGGCAACGCATTTTCGTACGAAACGTAAAAAACTTCGTAGTAGCCCATGTATAAAAAGTGACCAATTGTCAACATCTTGAAAACATAATCTTCGAAAAATCATACACAATTCAACTGCTGATGTACCAGATTAATGTTATTATTCAACGTTTTTGAATTAATTATCTAAATTTAACCATCGTGTTAATAATCCCATCCTCATTGAGACTACATAGGTAATCGTCAAACTACTTTTTGTGAAGTTTGATGTGGAGAAAATTGTCAGTCTAAAGCGATGATGCGATGTTATCAGACAGATTTTAAAGAACTTCAACAAGTTACATAAAAGTGAGAATTCCCGTTATTTTGGAAATTTTTTAGGGCCCAGATTTGAAGATAGGCGTTAGCTTTATACACTGTTATATTCTTATGGCATTGGTTTGTTCATTCTTTTATTTTGTTCTTGATCTCCGTATGCCATTTACACTTCATTCGATTTAACTAAATATTTAATCTGTTTGTGAAGTGACTTTTCGCTCATCGTCAAAACATTATTGTACTTCATCAATTGATAAATTAATTATGTAATTTATTGCACAGAACCTTTGGTGGAAAGACAGCATACGATCTCTCACGCAACATGCCTTCGATAAACAACCTAATGCAGCGCTTCGTTTCAAACTTAGTCACAAAAGAGTCTGAAGGTATTCACAGCCCACTAACATCCTATCCCGATGCCAACCACTTCAACCCGCAGAGTCTCTCCGCGAACATTAGTCAAATCTCTATTGACTCTGCCAAATCTACCGAGCCACTCTTTGAGTCCACCAATGAGGCAGCAACCGATAGTCCAATTCGTCTTCAGAAATCTGGAAGCCTCATTTGGAGCCTTATATGGCCGCAGCCGAAAAGCATTCTACAGCTCGTTGACTTTTCCCCTCCCTTCATTGCAGGAAAAGAGCTATTTATTTCAATAATCCAGGGAAGTGAGTCAATTCATGACATTTTGGACGTCTGGGAGGTTTCTCGAACTCACTTACTAGACCTTGGTCACGACGTAAAAGTGGGGGAGGTCCAGCCAGGCTCAGGTCGCTGCACAGGAGATAACAGAATAGAATGTATCGTAAACAAGAAACTCTTCAATATAGCAGAGGGATACCAGCTTAATATTTCTCAAAACTCTATAAGAGTTAGTGCTGGAAGTCTACCGGGCCTTCACTACGCAGTCTGCACTTTCGTACAGATTCTGCGGCTTAGCAAGAATGCAGAAACCCCAGGAATTTGCGAGATAGAGCCGGTCCTTATCAAAGACGAACCGCGGTTCATACACAGGGGAATCCTTCTCGATGTTTCTCCTAGAGGACGAACTCCGACATTAGACTACCTCCTGTACACCATAGACCTCTGGTCCTCCTTCAAGATCTCCCACTTGCATCTTTACTCAAGACTCACTCCTAGCTGTGACTGGCAGTTGTGTTACTCAAGACTGGAGATGGTGACGTTGGATCGTTACTGTAGAGATCGTCATATAGACATGATTCCAGCCCTTGACGTAGACCAGAACGTTAGCCAACGTCACCTTAATCAAATGTGGCCAGTATTCCAGGAGGTTCTAGCAACATTTCCCAGTTTATCATATGTTCACGTCGGCCCTAGATTAGCGAGTCTTTTGGTGCAGGCAGATAATTTGGACTACAGTCTCGGTACTAACGAAACTGTCGAAACTGACATGTCAGAGGTGTTCAAATCCTATTCATGTCTCCAAGAATTGTGGCATATATTGAATCTGAACTCTGATACAACGCTTCTATTGTGCTCTAATGGATTACACTCAAAACCAGAGTTTAGAAGTATTCCTACAAATGTTATTTTGGTAGAGTATGGTTTTCAGGCTGATTATGACTTCTCTGAGTGGACAGAGACATTTAAAACAGCTGGTGGCAATGTTCTTCCTAGTTCAGGTACTGCCAGTTATAATTCTCTTGCTGGATGTCCTGCATCTACATTCGCAAATTCTAGAAATGCAATCAAAACAGCATTAGAGCATAACTCTATTGGGATCATCGTTGCGCATTGGTCGGGTAGTCATCATCTTACTCCTCATCCTTTCTCATGGCCGGGCTATTTGGTCGGAGCTGGATTGGCATGGAATCCAGACTCTGATGTTGAGCTAGGATCGAACGATCATTTCGATCATGATCATGAAATCAGTGGGAACGGAAAATATCAGACGTTTCTGACAAACATATTGAACATTCACGTCTTTCAGGATGTGGAGAATAAAGTGGGAAGCGCTGTTTTAGAACTAGGGCGGGTAGACACACTAGTGCTAATACTGTCCAAGAATCAGGACTGTAATGATCTCCAGCAAATCCCTGATAATAGAGGGTCGACTCTTTACAGGCTCTTAACTGATCCAGACAATGTTAATCTGGAATTCCTGAGTGCTGATCTCTTCGTCAAAATGACGAAGCAGATTAAGCGTGTAACTTACGCACTTTATGAAGCTAATGTGACATCACAGTTTGGGGCAATGGAGATTCAAGAGCTGCAGCTTACTGCTGATCTTATGCTGACTGCTTGTAAAATTGGAAGGACGTTAATTGGAGTCGGCGTGAATCCTAATAGCAACATGGGGCTTGCTGTTATCAATTTAGGAGTTAGTAATCTACCACCAACTTTCAGGACTGACATCGCCAATAAGATGCTGGCCCATATTGAACAATATAAGGGTGCCTGGCTGCAAAGGCATCTACCTCAAGGATTGCAGACTTCTTTGCTAGTACTCAATAATGCTCTGAATCGGTTCGTACCGGAATCATAATTTTTTGTACTTATCATTCTAAGAGAGGAGAAATATATGTTTGCAGTTCATGAGACAACTGTAACATTTTTCATTACTGGATTTTAGGTAGGTGACAAATATTATTTCAAATTATTCATTATTGAAGACTGTTAAATTTTAATTAATTGATGAATAAATGCAACTTCATTTTAAGTATTGTGTTATTAATACTTTTTTTGATTTTCCTGTTAAGGCCCGATGATCAATCATGTATTTTCTTACTGAGTTTTATAAGTTATAAATATCACTCAGCGCCATTACAATTACATTTCGCACAAAATTATTACTTTTTTAAACATTTCGTTATTTACAAATACATAATTGAAGTGATTTTCTTCAATTATGCTTCCGAAAACCTTATTTTTTTAGGCATGAAATGGATTTTTGGTAAAATTCTGAATATTAATAAATTTATTACGATTCCGACCAAATCCTTTACATGATGGAAAATTGATTGTCATTCAAATATAAACCTGCAAAGTTTAAATAATAAAAACATTGTACCGACGGCGGTGGCTGTGTGGCTAGAGTGTGGAATTGGCACGCGGGAGACCCGGGTTCGATTCCCGGCTGGGGGGGCCAAAATTTGTGACACCCTAAATCTCACGGTTTCATTGTCGAGCGGGAGTTTTGCAAGAGACGACTGTACCTAGGCAGGTTTTTCCCTCAAATGAGGTTTTCCCTTGTCCTTCGGCGAATGCGGTACAGGGCGTTGGGGGGTGGAAAGGGAACAAATCGTAAAGATCCGAAGGGGTATACGAAAAGAAAATAATTTATAAATTTTTTTAAATTTAATAAAAACATTGTGAAAAGTTCGGAAATTTACCGTCAAATGGGGCTCAAATGCGAGCTCTTATATTATAACACGCTAGCGTATGTTGGAGTTGTCGCTCCGATTTTTCGACAGTCCAAATTTTTTTCTTCGCAGATTTATTGTCCAATAGAAATAAAAATCGTTTAAAGAATTTAATTCTCAATGAATTGACACCGATTCCATTTCTAGACTTCAATTAGAAGAGGAGAAATACATTTTCGTGGCAAGGAGTGACTGCGGACAAGTTCTCTCCGCTCGGGGATGCAAGCAGCCACTTAAGTAAGGTGGCTGTTAGGTGGCTAATTGGGGCTGTCTTGTTTTGGTGTAAAAAAGGGTAAATGATACCTGAAACCATTATGGATGTTAATCTATGAATTATTAATGAATTTTAGTACCTTTAATGATATTAATTTCCATTGAATAAGGAAAATAACTGTTTGCGTATTGAATGGAAAAATAAGTCAGTAGGGGGAACGCTGCTGGATGGCGGCAGTGTCGACTTCTCGCCCAGGTCGATAAAGTCGGCAGCAGTGGCGAGAGAAATATTTTTCAAAACTGGTAAAGGGACGTTCTCACGTAATTGATTATCCAATAGGTTCATATTGGCATTTTTTAAAATGAGTTTAATTCTGTATTGACCCAATTGCCTTACGTGAAAAATTTTATGGCTAATAGATATAGAGGAGGAGAATGCTCAGGGTCAAATAGGGGCTAAGAGGGTCATCAAATAATTAGATAAATAAAAGAATCGAATCTAAAAAATTTGAACTTTGTGAGAACTGGGGGGAAGGGTATGTATACGGAGGGTTGAGATTTTCACCCGTTGTAGGGAGGGCGGGGGGCTGGCAGAATTTATATGAACAATATATATATTTTAAATTATGTTGAAAAAACGATTTAAAATTATTTTCTAAACAACTATCTTTTTATGCATTGATTTTCGAATTAAAAAATAAATCAATTCAATAAATAAATTGATTTATGCACCCGCTCGGTTTGTGGAAATCTGTGGAAAATAGACGCATATACACGGAGGGATGAAAATGGACGGGGGTGAGAGGAAGGGGTTTGAGATTTACATTTTTATAAAATTGCCCCCCCCCCCACGGAAAAATTCGCTGATTTTTTATAGATTAAAAAAAATGAATTTCGGGGAAAATACATGAGTATGCAGGTTCTCCGGGGGGTTGAAGACACCCGCCTATATCCGGAGGGATGAAAATTTAGGGGGGTGAGCGAGAAGGGTTTGTGACTACATTGTTATAAAATTTACGCCTCTGGAAACATGCACTGATTTTTTATAAAATAAAATATGAATTACGGGGAAAATACATGATTATACCGTTTCTCCGGGGGGTTGAAGACACCCGCCTATATCCGGAGGGATGAAAATTTAGGGGGATGAGGGAGAGGGGTTTGAGACTACATTGTTATAAAATTTACCCCTCTGGAAACATGCGCTGATTTTTTATAAATTAAAATATGAATTTCGGGGAAAATACATGATTAAGCGGTTTCTCCGGGGGGTTGATGACACCCGCATATATCGGGAGGGATAACAATTTAGGGGGTAAGGGGGAGGGCTCTGGGATTACATTTTTCTAAAGTTTACCCCCGGAAACATGCGCTGATTTTTTATAAATGAAAAAAAAATCAATTTCGGGGAAAATACATGAGTATGCGGTTTCTCTGGGGGGTTGAAGACACCCGCCTATATCCGGAGGGATCAAAATTTAGGGGGTGAGGGGAAGGGTTTGAGATTACATTGTTATAAAATTTGTCTCCGGAAACATGCGCCAATTTTTTATAAATTAAAAAAAATGAATTTCGGGGAAGATACTTGAGTATGCGGTTTCTCCGGGGGGTTGAAGACAGCCGCATGTATCCGGAGGCGTGAAAGTTTACGGGGTTAACAGGGAGGTGTCACAAATTTCATTTTTACAAGAGTTATTCCTTCGGAAACATGTTGGCATTTTTTATCATTTTTTTAACAATCGATTTCGGGAAAAATACAAGATAATGGGGTTTTCACAGGGGTTGCAGATACGCGTTTATGCGTAGGGTTGCACCCCTTGGGCCAGAGATCATAGAGGAGATGAGCAGGGCCAATGTAAAGTGTTCGACAGCAAAATTCGTAGCGGTGGCGCATGGACTACGATGGAGCGTACGGAACTGTTGGTATGGTAGGGCCCGAGTATAAATTTGTCGCTAACCGAAAAGGGGTTCTCAATAGAGTAGCTCCTTGCATTTTGTAATAATTGTCAGGAATGTAAAATCGAACATATTATAATCAATAGTATAATGAATGCAGAATCTAATGATCTAAAAGTCTTTTCCTTTTTCTAGACATATTTATTATTGACACGTAGCTCAAAAAATTCATAGAAAATCCCAGCGCTGTCGCTGGAAAACTCTAGTTTTCCAGTGATTCTATTGAATAATTGTGCAGATTTTGTTTTTTTTACTATAGTAATGTTCGATTATATATATTTATTGCCCCCCTGAGTGAGAAAGGAATATGTATCGCGCTCGCTCCCACTCATTGTCGTCTCCGTCGCGTTGGCACGTGCCCGTCCTCCGCCAAACTTAACGAGTGCGAGTGAGAAAGAAAATGGAGAAGAAGGAGAGAGAAAACATTCCAACTCGTTTGAACGGTTGGAACGTTTTCGTTGTGCTCCAGCGATCTACACATAATGGGATTAATTCAATAATAATAGATTAATGAATAAGATTTTTCGCAGATTATTGCGAGATTTAGATGAATGGTTTGTCTCCTTCAGTGACCATAAAAAATTGTCTCCAATCGACAATATCTNAGGTTTCAGTAATAGTAGATGTATGAGACGGGTTCTGGGGCAACGTTTCTGGGGCGAGCGCTGGAGACTTGTGGAAGAGGCCCCCGCGAGTGGGTGGTGGGGTGGAATTAATTAAATCGCAGTTTTAATTCGCGGTTTTAATTCGCGGGTTTAATTCGCGGTTTTAAATCGCGGTTTTGATTCACAGTTTTGATTCGAATTTGAGATTTTCAATTTTGGAGATTTTAATTCATAATGGCTTTTAACATTTTTGAGATTGTACCTGAGATAAGAAGGATGAGTCATCATCACAAGGGTTAAGTGCAAAAGGTCATAAATCATTTTTCTTATACCTGGAAAAGAGAAAGTGTGACAATCCTGAGATAAGACGAATGAATCATCACAGCAAGGGTTAAGTGGAAAAGGTCATAAATCATTTTTTTGTACAATTCCTGAAAAAGAGAAAGTGTGACATTCTTGAGATAAGAATGAGTCATCATCGCAAGGGTCAAGTGCAAAAGGTCATAAATAATTTTTTTATACCTGGAAAAGAGAAAGTGTGACATTCCTGAGATGAGAAGGTTGAGTCATCACAGCAGA